ATAATAACTACGAAGAAACTAATGCTGTTTTATGTTCCTTATCACGTTAGTGGATTTTTTTTTTTAAGGGAAAAGAATGTATTTACTGTCTCCCTCTTTCTTGTTTCTGACTGATCTCAGCATAATGACAGGCTCATTTTTGATCTCCAGGAAACTGACAGCCCCGGAATGATATTAATTATGCCAACCTGTTGATCAAAGAGGGCCCCACTGAGCTGCTGATATATGAGGAGGGGCTTTTACTCCTGAACAATCTCTAGACAGGCAAGTCTATGCTCAACTCAGGCTTCCTTTCTTTCTGGAGGATGTAGCCAGACTTCCATAAGGAGAGCTAAATGTGGAGGGGACTGTTGGTGGCTGGTCCCACCTCCCCTAAGAAACTGCACTTGTGTGGTTGGATGCCAGAGTTTCTTGCTTCTGTACCTTGGCATATGCTGTTCTCTCCATTTCAAATGCCCTCCCAGATTACCACCTGGGGTTACTGCTCTTAATGATGTCCCTATTTAAAATGTTTCCCATCTTAGCCCCTTGAATAAAGGGACTTGTCAGAAACAGGAGCCCTACTGGAGTGCCAAAACAATGATGATAGTGCTGCCTGTGGCAGTAAACTCCAAAGTTTCCGTAGTGTGGTAACCCAGTAATAGTTTATTCTTTTTTTACATAAAGCCTAGAGTGAATGTTCCAAATAGGTAGTGGCCTTGGTCATGGTCATGGTCATTTAGGGAACTTGGCTTTTTTTTACTGTGACTCTACCCTCCCTTAGGCTCTTGAAATCCTCAACATTCAGCAGGTAGATGCGAAAAGAAAATGGATCAGTGATTCTCACACCTTAAAGTAAAAACAGATCACCAGGATATCTTGATAAAATGCAGATTTGGATTCAGTAAGCCTGTGGTGGGCCTTAGCTTATTTCTCTTAAGCTCCCCACTGATGCTAGGGCTGCTAGTCCAAGGACCATAGTTTGAGACAAAAGATAGTGGAATTTGGAGGTTTAGGGGTGGAGATTGAGGTGACCTATATGAGCTAGACTGGAAGTGCCACACATCATAATTTTACTCTTTTGACTAGAACTTAGTTGTATATAGGAATCCTGGGGAATATAGTCCAATTATGTGCCCAGAAGAACCAGGTTTGCTCATCAGGTAACAATTTCATTCTAGTAGTTCCCTCTTATCCACAAGGGTGTGTTCCAGGACCCCCCAGTAGATGCCTGAAAGTGCAGGTAGTACCAAACCCTATATATGTCATGTATTTTCAATCCGATAACCAAGACAGCTACTAAGTGATGAACAAATAACATATTCAGTGTGGATACATTGGACAAAGGGATGATTCATGGCCCTTGGTGGAATGGAGCCATGCCACTCAATAGTCCACAATCTAAAACTTATAAATTGTTTACTTCTAGTATTTTCCATTGGTTATTTTTGGAGTGTGGTTGACTATGGAGAACTGACACTTGTGGAAAGGAAAACTGTGGATTAAGGGAAACTACTGTACCTGGAAATTTGATGGAGGGCCAAATACTGTCACCAGCTCTGCTCCAGGGAAATAGCAGTGTTCTTTATCCATAGTCATGGGAACAGCAAAACAGAGAGTTGTCCTTAGCCTCCTGGGAATAGATAGATGGATGTTCTATAGTTGAGCATAAAGCCATGTGGAGCAGAGTAAACTCCATCTCCTCAGTGAACCTGCCCTGCTACTGAAGCTAGGATGAAAAGAAGAGAGAACATGAGCTGGTAGGAGAGAAACTTGCCACACTGCTGTGGATTGTAAGAAGCTGAGGATACATGTGCACTGGTGTGAACTAGGAGGAGAGCAGGTGTTGAAATGTCCATCATGGGATTCACAGTGGGGAGAGCCAGATGTTCCTTGTTTCTCAGGCAGAGGCAGGGACATGTGTCACTCCTCATGGCAGGGGCAGTTACCCAACCTTTGTGGTGGTTGCTCGTAGGTCCTAGGAAACCCTGGGATGCTGTGGGGATACAGGCGTACAGGCAGATAAGAGCATGAATGCTGGCCCACTCTTCTCTGAGCCTCAGTTTCTCTCCCTATAATGGGTCTTTGCTGCCTCACTGGGAGGTTTTGATAATTAGGTCGCATCTTGTTGGGAGATATCTCTCCACTCATTCTGTATGTTACTTTTAGGACATAAACTCGGAAACTTTACTGTCCTGGATAACACTGACAAAAACTGTTCTATTTCCAGTGACTTCTACCCCAAGAAGTGGGAGAATTTTTGGACTGGTGGGATGGCTAAACTCTAACAGCCACTAGTTCAGGTTTCTCTGTCCTTGTCATTGTGCTCCATGTTGGCTACTTTTTAGTATACACACACCCAATTGCCTGGAGTCGGGGGTCCCCAGTGCCTGGACCACTGACTAGAGCTTGTCCATGACCTTTTGGCCCCCTCCCCTAAGAACTCCCTCCTAGGCAGCAGTGGGGGGGGGTGGCTGGCAGGTGGCAGGTGAGTGAGTGAGGCTTCATCTGTGTTTGTAGCCACTCTCCATTACTCAGTTGCCACCTCAGCTCTGTCTCCTGTCAGGTCAACAGCACTATTGATTATTATGAGAGTGCAAACTCTATTGTTGTGTGATTATTTCACTGTATATTGTCCTGTGGTAGTGGCAGAAATGGGATGCACAATAGACATGGTGTGCTTGGGTCATCCTGAGATCACCCTGCCTCAGATGTTCATGGAGAGATTGTCTTCCATGAGGTGGGTGCCAGAAAGGTTGGGGACTGCTGCCCTAAGTGATCATGTCACTAGGCCTGGTCCTAGGAACCTGGGAAGAGTCAGTGGGTGGGATTCATCCAGCTGCTCTGCATGCCAGTTTAGGGAAGAAGATGCAGGAAGCTTAATTCAAGTCTTCATTACTTTTTCTAATACAACTTTGTGTGTAATAAAGTGGAAGTTTTGACCTCTGTCTCCTGTGTCTTTTTAAAAATTCAGTCAGAACCCAGACGAATAATACTCTATAGAACCCCAAGAAAACAGTGGACATCCCAATACTTATTAACTGGCTATCGTTTGTCTTTCTGGTATTAAGGTGGAAGAATGAGATGACTTGGAATTATTGAAGTAGCTCATCTTTGCTGAGGATAAGTAGTCTTAAGGTTTCATTTTGAATCGAAGTTTGTAGTGGTTAAAATCAGATTTCAAAGCAACAGTGATTTTCTAAGTGGAAATATTCATCCCAGAACTACCTGAGTTTATCTACTGTGTTTTATGATGCTCTTTATTTCATAGACTCATAGGACTCTTAAGTCACAGAGTTCAGCCCTCCTAGCTGATTGTGGAATTTCCATAGATATCTCTTTCATTTGTCCAGGCTGTTTAGCCACCTGCAGTGAAGGGAAACTCATTTGTCTCTGGATAGTCGATCCCATTTTGCACCAGCTGGATTTATTAGAAAATCCTTTGCACAGTGAGGTGAAATGTGCCTCCTTGTGGTTTCTTTTGTGAATCTGCCCTTTCAGGCAACTTTATCAATTAGCTATTGCCACAATAATGCTGCATAACAAACCAAGAGGAAATCCAGTGGCAAACAACAATACACCTTTATTCTCACACTTGTGAGTTTGTGCATAAATTTTGAATTGACTGATCTATCCTGGAATGTTGGCCACATGGCCATTCTTTTAGCTGCAGGGGTGGCATGGCTTGGTTCTTCATTATCAGTTGAGCTCAGGTCTCCTCCATGTGTGCTTATCTTCATCCCAATTTAAAAGGGGCAGTAGCTACCTGGGGCACATTCTCCTCATGAAACGGTGATAGTATAAGAGGCAAGCACATTTTAAGTTTTTGCTTGAATCATTCTGCTAGCATCCTGTTGACAAGACAAGTCATGGTAGAGCCCAGAGTTAAGGGATGAGGACAGACTGCTTTTCTTGGGAGGAACTGCAAAGTGCATGGCAAAGGACATGGGTCCAGGTGGGAGCACCCATTCAATCTATTTAAGTGACTTAAAAGAGAATCACTTCCTTTCTATTAGACAGCCTTTTAAAAAAAAAAGTTTTATTTCATTTTATTAATCATTATTACTATTATTTTAGTTTGAACAGAGAGAGAGAGAGACAGAGACAGAGAGAGAGAGGCAAAGTGAGAAAGCAAGCCACTAGGCCTGGGACTTGAACCATGGCCTTGTGAGAATCCAGTGGACTTAACCACCATGCCACCTGCTGGCCCTGAGACAGCTTTTTTAATGCTTGGAAATAGTAGTTATGCTTTCTGCAAATACTAATTATAACATAAACTTTGAAGTTAGAGAGAAGTTGGGTCCTTCCTTCCCTGATCAAGTGGTCTACGGTAAGTCATTCAATCTTTAAGTAAAACAAAAATCCTCTCTCTCTCTCTCTGAATCAATCTGAAAATAAAATGGAATAGTGTATAAATAAGACATCTAATATCAGCACTGGTCCCCTGTAAGTGCTTAGCAAGTGCAATTTGCCTTCCATTCCTCCTTAACATTGTCTAATTGGTCCTCACATTTCTTCAGGGTCTTCCTTGCTTGCTTCAATATTTTCTACTTATATATGTTTACCTTTAGTACATGGTTCTCTGTACTGATTGCAAGACTCTACGTATGATATGCTGGAATACTCACACCTCTGATATTGTAGAAGTTATGCCTCCATTGAAACAGCCCATGCTTGCATGAGGTTATAGTTCATCTTCTTAAGCTAAATTCTTGAGCTTTTAATTCCATGCTTTCTTCAGGAGCCGCTGGTGTAATATTTCAGCTGTGTCTATAGATCATCTCCTTTGTAGAAAGGCTTCATACATGCTACCATTCTGTAATGGTAACCTTGTTTCCAATTACAGAAGGAGATACTCAGGTCAAGAGAGAGGATGGGCTTCCCCAGGTCAACCAGACACTACTAGAGTGACTTGATCACTGGCTAGTCCTCTAGCCACCATGTTTTTTGGGTGTAACTAATTTTCATAAGGATTTTATTTTTCTCTCCTTGTCTCCACTTCCTGTCCTTCTTGTCTCCAGGGTCCTTTATGATGGTGAACAGCTCCGGAAGAGCCTCTGGCCAGAAAGCCCACCTTCTTCTACCTACCCTAAAGGAGAATGACACCCATTGTATCGATTTCCATTACTACTTCTCCAGCCGTGACAGGTCCAGCCCAGGGGCCTTGAATGTTTATGTGAAGGTGAACGGTGGGCCCCAGGGGAATCCTGTCTGGAACGTGTCTGGAGTCGTCACTGAGGGCTGGGTGAAAGCAGAGCTTGCCATCAGCACCTTCTGGCCACATTTCTATCAGGTATGGCATTTTAACCTGTTTTCTGTTTTTGTTTTTTAAGAGTTTTTATTTGTTTGTTTGTTTGTTATAGGGCATGAGTGCTTGCTGGAGAGACAGAGAGAGACAGAGAGGGAAAAAGTGAGAAATCACCTCCCAGGGAGTATGACCATTCCACAATCCCTTCTTCTCCACTCTCCTTTAGGGATTTTGGGCACACACACCCACATGCACACACACACACCTGGCATGAGTTTCAAGAATCTGGGTCCAGAACTCAAACCATGGTCACGCATGTGGGAGTTCAACGCCTTAACTGCTATGCTACCTCATGGCCTCACCATGGCTGGGATTTAAAAAAAAAAATAGTTTACCTCATATACCTCTTGCCCTCCCTGTCTTCATTAGGTCTAGAAAGGACTTTCTTTATTCACTCATCCAAATCATGCTTACTGAGTCTCTCCTCCTAGTCAGGCCCTACGGATATGGAGGTGATTCAACAGAGCACTTTACTCTTCAGAAATCATCATTTGGAGGAGGAGACTCATACCTAATAATTACAGTACAGCAGGATGCATGTGGCTCTCTATGATGCTAAAGGAAATAGCTACTGAGGTTGATTTATAAAATAAATGTTTACAACAGCAAAATGAGAGATATGCTTTTACTATCCCAATCTCGAAAAGATTGAGGTTCAGAGAAATGAGATAAGCAGTCAAAGATCACCCCTAGGAAGAAGGTGTTTGGTGGGGAAAGCAAGTAGGGTGGTTTCTAAGAAGAGATGACAGGATGAATCTTGAAGGATGAATAAAAATGTATTGGAAAAGACACTTGGGTTTTCAGGGACAGTGTGTGATGGGCCAGAGGACAGAGTGAGAAATAAAACAGATTTTGGAAAGTCTAAGTCGTTTAGGGTATGTTAAAAAGGGGATATACAAGGAGACGAGCCTGTGAGGACAAGTAGGTCATTGGGGTCTTTGAAAGCCAGGCTAAGGAGATGGAATTTATTCTCTAATCTGGAGTAGTAACGTCTGGTCTGGAGAAGGGCTACTTTCCTCACAGACTCTTTGTGAGCCAGTACTTTTATAAACCACACACAAAAACTGTCACAGCAAAGCCAAATTGCTGTAACAGTTTCTAAATACCTCCGTTGCTCAGAGTGTCCCTGTTATCACACTGTGACTGATGGCAAGAGCACAGACTAGCACCAGTCCGTGGAGCATGCTTGGAAGAACATGGCTCCAGGTCATTTTAGCTTGCACAGTTAAAAAAATTTTTTTTTAAAGGACTTTATTGAGATAACAATTTATGTGTTATAAAATTCTTTTATCTTTTTAAAGTTTTTGCTAGGGTTTGTATGCTTATGATAGAGAGAGAGAGATGGTGAGAAAGGGAGAGAAAGGGAAAGTAAGAAATCACCCCCCAGGAGGCATGGCCATGCTGCAGTCCCTTCCCCTCTATTTTCCTCTGAGGATTTGGGCATACACACACATGTGCCTGGTGTGTTTTTCAAGTCACTGGGTCTGGGACTTGAACCATGCATTTGGCCTTGTGGGGATCCAGCTGCCTTAACCTCTATGCCATCTGCTGGCCCCTAGAGTCCACTTTTAATTTTTTTTTTTTTTCCCATGAGAGAAAGTGATAGAAAGAGAAATCCCTGACAGGATCTGTCAGGGTGATCCTATGCCTAGCCTCCACCAGCCTGGATCATGGGCCTGTGTGTGCACACCTGGCATGCACAGGAAGGCCTTGGGACACGAACCAGGAACTTTGCCTTATGACCTTAGCATTATGCTGCATCACCACAGCTGGCCAGAATCCACTTAAATTAAGTGTGCAATTCAGTGCTTTTTAGTAAACCTACTGAGTTATGTAACAATTGCCATAAACTGGTTTGAGAATATTTCCATCACTGTATTGAGATCTCTGAGGCCAGCCAGTGGTATGGTACTTAAGGCAGCTAGGTCCCACATGGCAGACTGCACAACTTGAGTCCTGGTCCTGAAAGTCCTGGTGGCTTGAAAAATATGCAAACTGTGTGTGCACACGTACAAAATGTCAAAAGGAGGGAGAGATGGAGGATAAGGGATTGCAACGTATCCATCCCTCATGTAGAGTGCTTTCTCAGTTTTCTTCTTTTTCTGTCTCTCTCTCTCTCTGAGAGCACCCACTCTCTGGCAAACACTTAAAAAAGTAAAAAAGATAAAATTCCTGGTGCCCATTTTCTGTCAATCTGCATTCCCACAGTTGAAAGGTTTTAAGTAAGAAGGTGACATAGTCAGATATGCATTTTGGAGAAATTTCTCTAGCATCTGCACAGAAGGTGGACATGAGGAGAGCAAGACTAATGGTGGGAGTCTTCTTAGAATCCTCTCGTTCAGTGTCCACGATACAGTTCTTTCCTATTTTAGTATTAGAAATATATTTATTTATCTACATCACTTGTTAGGTTTATATAATAAAATAATTCAAGTTTTATTTCCTCATTGCATTGGCAACTAGAAATCAGAATGTAATATTTAGTTACTTTTAATACTTAGTTGGGGCCGGCAGGTAGCATGGTGTTTAAGGGCACTGGACTCCCACATGGCCAACCACAGTTCAAGTCCCAGGCCTGGTGGCTTGCTTTCTCATTTTCCACCTCTGTTTCTCTCCCACTTTGTCCCTATCTGGCCAAATTAAAATAAAATAAATAAAGTGAAATAAAATAATTCTTAAAAAAAATACTTACCCTAGATGCTTGTCATATATATTTCCATTTTATACTCAATAGCTTGTGATTTCTATTTAGAATAATTTTCTTGTCCTTTGTTACACATTCATGGCATTCCTTTTAGATGTAGGGGAGAGAAGATGATGAGCTAATGGTAGTAATATAAGATGATGATAATACCCACCATTTTTTCAGTATTTATCATCTTCCAGACAAGCTACAAAATTTTATACACAATAACTTGTTTAATCTTCACAGTGATCCTTAGAGGCACGTGCTGTTATACCCATTTTATAGATGATAAAACAGACTCAGAAATAATAAGAAATAACCAAAATTCACATGGAGGTAGAGCCTTATTTTCTGCCTGTTCTGTTGGTTTTTTTTGTTTGTTTGTTTTGTTTTTTGAGAGGTTTTTGCGATAGGGCGTGTGCGCTTGCCAGACAGACAGAGAGACAGAAAGCGAGAAAACACCCCCCAGGGAGCATGGCCACACCCCAATCCCTTCTCCTCCATTCTGTTCTTGGGATCTTGGGCACACATGCACATGCGCCCGGTGTTGAGTTTTAAGTCACTGGGTCCGGGGCTTGAACCGTGGTCCACTACATGGGAGTCCAGTGAGATAGCCATTATGCTAATTGCTGGTCCCTGCCCATTCTGTATGATCCCACAGTCTAATCTAGTATTATCTATTATATTAGGTCGTTGGGGAAGTTCTGATGTGTTTTTCTGTGTAAAACTGCATCATAATTTTCCCGACAACCCATTTATATACAATGTGAGCCACATATGTCATTGATAAATTTTAGTAGACCTAAAAGTAAAAAGAAACTGGTCAAATTACTTTTCCTTTTTCAGTTTTTTGTATGATACATGTGCTTGCTGGACAGAGAAAGAGAGAGAGACAGAGAGAGAGACAGAGACAGATAGACAGACAGAGACAGAAAGAGAGAGAAGTGAGAATTCACTCCCCCCACCCCGGGCCCCGTGAGGGCATGGCCATGCCATAATCCCTTCTCCTCCTGGGATTTTGGGCATGCACGCACATATGCACAGCATGATTTTCAAGCCACCAGGTCTGAGACTCAAACTGGGCAGTTGGCCCTGTGAGCTCCAGTGCTTTAGCCACCATGTTACCAGCTGAGTTTTTAAGCCATATTTTACTTACCCCAGTATCCAAAATATTATCACTTCAATATGGAATCAATTTAAACAATTATTAGTGAGATGTTTCCATTCTTTCTTAATAAGTCTTCACAACCCAGTGGATATTTCATTCACAGCAAGTTTTAATACAAGTGCTACATTTTTACTGGCAGTCATGATCTGTATTTGCATTTTATGAAATATGAAGATTAGATTTTATGAAGTTTAGACTTTTCTAAAAAAAAAAAAAGATTAATATACGAAAGTTGTTCCAAACATACTTAAATTTTTTTGATTACTGAATCAAGTATCAGGTTTTAAATTTGAATTTGAAATAATTAAAATGGAATAAAATAAAAGAAAATGAGCTTTTTGCTAACCACATTTCAGTTGTGACACATGACTAGTTGCTTATATATTAAATGGCATAGATTGAAATGGGTTTTTCTTTTAATTTGCTATGGGGCACATGCATTAGCTGAAGAGAGATTGGGAACAGGGAAAGTGAGGAGGCATCCCCCATGTGGGAGAGCATGCCATAGTCTCTTCTTTTTCATTCTCCTCTTGGGATTTCTATGCACATATGCACACATGTCTGAAGCATTTCTCAAGCCACTGGCTTCAGGACTTGAACTGCACAGCTGGCCATAAGGGAGTCAGCCTCGCCACCCACCATGACACTGGGCTGGCCCCAGACTGGCACCTTTTTTTTTTTTTTTTTGAGGTTTTTGCTTTAGGATGCGTGCACTCTCCAGAGAAAAAGACAGTGAGAGGGAAAATGAGGAATCCCCAGTGTGGATGGCCATGCTACAGTTCTTTCCTCTTCATTCTCCTCTTGGGATCTTGGGCACGCATGCACACACACCCTATGTGATTTTCAAGCCACTGGGTCTAGGACTTGATCCACAGCCAACCATATGGGAGTCCAGTGTTGTAACTGCTACAACATCTGCTGACCTCCAGATTGAAACTTTTTTTTTTTAATTTATTTGTTTATGTTCATTCACTGTACATCATTACAGCATACAAGATGATATTTTCCATCCAGAGTATACTGTATATTGTCTCCATCAAGCACATCAACATACATGTTATTGTCAACAAATAGTTTTCCATTTCTTGTTTCCTGTATGTTTTGCTTCCCCCCACCCCCATCCTTGATTCC